AGTGTTCAACACCATTATATCCAACGCTTAAGAAAACGAAAGAACAAGGGAACAAGAAAAACCTAGAAAACTTAAGCTCCTCACACAATAAAGGCCATTTACAACATTATTTACAAAATGTTGATCTCATGAATGAACACATTGGCCTTGCAGCTTTCATAAATCATTCAAAATGTTCAACACTGTTCACTCTTATGCCGTGTATCATAAATTGGTCCTGACTCGCACCCCCATTTCAGACGATATGAACCTGTCGTTCTAGTTTTACTCCATTTCAAATCATTTTAAGTATCGTTGCACTTAATCTGTATCCTTTTATTATTTGTAGATAATATTGCTCTGTAAAGCACTTTGAATTGCCCTGGTGTATGAAATGTGCTGTCCCAATAAAGCTGCCCTGCCTGGTGCTGGTTCACTTTATTCAATTTGCTATTCCACAGGCTACAGAGCCATGTCATTGCCTCACTCTATACATCTGGAAATGCTTTCCCAGAAACACAAACACCAATTATAGCACAGCAGCTACATTGTCTCTTCACATGTGTTGCTCCTGACTTTGCGAGCCCAAACTGGCATCCGAGCATGACTGGAAAGGGGGATCCTTGGACGGTGTGACATGAACTTGGTTCGGACACTTAACTGCTCTTCTCATATTCTTTTCATCTGCAGCTTCAGCTTCCTGACTTAACAATGCTTTCTACACACCCAATGTTGTTGCGTCTCAACTTCTCAGAGTGATCTGAGAAAAGCTGTTCTTAAATAGATCGGGTTATTAAACTCCGTGGCAAGATAACTGGAGAACAAATGTGCAGTGTTAAGCCAGGTTTATGCGTCTGCCTACCTACGACGCAGAGGGCTATGTGTCCCTCTGCAACCGACGCAGAGACGTGACGTGCACCTCCAAAAAATTGTAACCACACGTTGAGGCAATGCAGACCCAACGCAGATGGCAAGAGCTATGATTGGTCCTTCAAACTACATCATTCCCAGCATTTTGCAAGATTTCACTTCCTGCTACAGTACCACAACACCGCCATTTTCAAAAGTCTCCATTGTGATCAGTTGTGTTTTGAGATTTGATTAAAAGATGGATATAATAATTTAACAACAGCATTTGTTGTTCAATGTCGATCATTTCGAACTCCAGCAACAGTCTTTCTCTCTCGGTCGCCATCTTCACTGTGACTAGAGCAAAGCCAGAAGATTAAACAATGAACGAGCAGCGACCATAGACGTCACAGAGTCTAGGTAGGTGTATAAAAGAACGCCATGCCCCCAAGCGCAGAAACTTTTACTCACATGACAGAGCGGTGCACAGTGAATCTAGCTCACAAGATGGCAGATGCACTGCACCCTCTATGGTCTGAACATGTACTAAGGCTCCAGGGTGCAGGTATAGCATGCCCGTCATCAAACCATGTGATGTTTGGTGTTGCTGGAGTCAGGAAGCTCTCGACTTTTCAAAGATAACATCGTTTTTCTTTATTATGTATTTTGCACCAGAACAGCCTAAACACACAAAGTCCAAAATCACGATGAGTGGTGACAAGTCATGTCATGCCGTTTTTCGACGGGAAAAGTTAAAGGATTACTCGCAATCTAATGTGGAGATGTTAGAGGGAACATAGCTAATTTATAAAAGGTAAGAGTCTCACTCCTACCACTATTTTTGGCTGAGATACACCGTCTAGAAAGTGGGATCATAACTTTCACGTTTCATGTGGCTTTATTTGGTGATATTTTATGGTGTTTCTGTGTCATAAACAACATCAGCTATCATAATCACACCTTATTTCAATAAGGTACAATGTTTGAAGCTGGCTGAGTGTTGTTTGATCACTGATAGGACTGTTTTGAAGCCGAGTGACTGACTTGTCATTTGGAGCTCCGACTGGATCTTTTCATGGAAGAAACACTATGTATGCCATTTTAGGCGTTTTTGCTACAAAATGGGGGTGGAGTACGAGAGGATAAAGCAGTCGTCATATAGTCTGGAACTGGCACCAATGATGATACTTGTTTAATGTGTGTTTTTATGTTTTGTTTTGTGGTGTTGATGTGTTCATGTTCAGTTGTGCAATGCAAATTCCCCTTGAGGCAATAAAGTTTTCATTCATTCATCATTTATTGTAGCAGGTACACTAAAACACCTGGTATCATGTAGTCTACACTGTTCCACTCACCCCTTCTTTTGAAAATGTCGCCACAAAACACTGCCATATCCCTGTGAACTGTTTCTGGGTCTGGATCCGCACCTAGAAATATAAAGAATGTTAATTTGTTGCACAAACGTCTTGGTTGTTTGAGATATATGTAATGTTCAGTGTACCTTGACCGTGTCCAGAGGGTATCCCACTGCAACTCCACATGCCCCTGTTTGTGTTTGCAGAGACAACAGAGCATCAAGGACACAACAAGAGCACAGCCAAGGTTGTGGGCTTTAACTGTGCCCCCCCCCCCAATGTGCAGCTCAGAGGAAGATCAAACATGAGTATTTGCAGCTTTTACATCTTAAAATGAATTAAATGACTCAAGAAGCACACACTAACACAAGGTCTAACTGTGTTCTCTCAGTGAGATGATCTCAGGCTGTCTACATGTATGAAACACAAGTGTACATATGACAACACTAGTGTGTGAGCTGTGTTTACTGCTGCTGCTGCTGCTTTAACTCCAAATATTAAATCTGCATAACGACACAGATATAAGAGATCAAGCTCAACCCGTTTCACAAGACGCATAACGTTCAAACTACCTAATCTTCCCCCATGCTGTCATATGATCATCAGCACCATGCTAATACAGTAGCTAGCCACTTAGCACACACCCAGCCGGCTAATGCTAACAGTAAGCTAACAGTTAGCTAGAGGCTGCACGAACGGTTACCTGCAAATGATCCGGACACAAAGTCAGCGATATGCATCCTGTCAGATGGCGACTGACCGACGGACACTGCTCAGATATGAGTCCATTCTTCCTCCAGCGTGCTGCTGCTCACCGTAACCTTGAGTATCCTGCTGCTGTGACGTGGAGAAGAGGTGTGACGCAACGGCTGAGAACATTCGCTCCGACTTGAGCCGAAGATGGCCGAAAGATTTATTGTGTCTCAGCGAACGCGAGCTGACTTTGTGTGCGCGCGCCGTGTGTGTATAACAACATGACATGAAAGATTAATACTTAAATGTTCTAATTATTTCATATCAGGCGTTATATACAAAAAAAAACTTCTCAGTACAACTTATATATATGATTTTACTGCTGCATCCTTTTGTATTGTTTGTCATATAAACTGAAATATAGCAAAGATGAAATTAATTGTCAGATTTGATATAATTTCTTTAAGATGCACCTTTCTTTCTCCTAATAATAATAATAATGATAATTATCATTAGTAATAGTATTATTGTTATTACATCGGGATAAACCATTTAAGATACATCATCTCGTTTTAGAGAGAATTAATGATGTATTCATAATTATCATTATTTTAATAGAAGAAATAATAGTAATTATAACACAACTACTACTTCTACTAATATAATAATAATATTAATCATAATAATAATAATAATTATTAATATTATTATTATTAGTGGTAGAAGCTATTATTTAATTAGGATAAACCGCTTAAGACGCATCATCTCGTTTTAGAGATAATAACAATTATATTAATAATGTATTATTAATAACAAAATTATTATTATTATTATTATTATTATTATTATATTATAGAATAAAGAAGACATAATTATTAGAAAGACTACTATTGTGTCATTAATGTTATATAAATAAGGTTATCTATAATTATGTAATAAATTAATAAAATTTGAGGCGGCAGTAGCTCAGTCCATAGGGACTTGGGTTGGGAACCGGAGGGTCGTCTGTTCGAGTCCCCGTCCGGACCAAAATATGGAGCGTGAACTGGTAGCTGGAGAGGTGCCAGTTCACCTCCTGGGCACTGCCGAAATGCCCCTGAGCAAGGCACCGAACCTCCAACCGCTCGGAGCACCTGTCATGAGCAGCCCACTCTGACATCTCTTCACTTAGTGCATGTATAGGTCCTGTTTGTGCATGTGTGTGTTCGGACCTGTGTGTAATTGACAACAGAGTGAAAAATTGAATTTCCCCTCGGGGATTAATAAAGTATATAAAATTACAAAAATAAATAAATAATAATAATAATAGTTAGTATCATTATTACATAATTATAGATAACATTATTAATATAACATGAATGACACAGTGTTGTATGATATAACAATTTAACAAACAACAAACTAATGTCAAGCAAAGGAAAAGAATAAATGAATAAAGGAATACATCCTTAAACTAAACATAATCAAAAGAAAAATGAATCGTTTCTAAATAGAAAGAGGAATAGTGACGTCATTGCTGAAAACATTGTCATGATAGTTCAGAGTATTTAAATGAGATGGAGCTCGAGACGTAGGTTTTTGTGTTTGTTTTACCAACTTCTTGAGACACAAGGGGCACCATGAACACTATCTCAGAGCTTCTTTGTCAATAATTTGACTCTCAGGGAACAAAAAAAGTTTGAAACAATTTTGTTAGTTAAAGCTGATGCATTTAAAATAAACTGGAGCCCGTTTGTATCAAGAGGACGCCATTTAACTGAGTCTAACATTGTGCAATGGAGTGTGATATAACATGTAGGGGCTGCTTCAGAGGCGTTCCGGTAAAAAGCGTCAGTTTACAATGTCATAAATGTCCCAAACACAACATTTGTGAATGACAACACTTCCTGCGTCCTGTGACACGAGACTTGATACACGGTCCATTCAAAAGCAAAACATCACCCGGCTCCTGTGACGCAGCTCAACCTGCGAGCGGTGAACAGCCAATCAGTGACGAGGATTACGTCTGGAAGCGGGAGGTAGCGCGGGGTGTCGGCGTCATCTCTTCACTCTGATTGGACGGAAACCCGACCCGATGCCGGTAAGCCCCGCCCCTTACTAGTTACTTCCTGCGGCGGCGCTAGCTTGTCGGCTACAGAAATAAACCTCCTTCACACAGGCAGCGGAGACGGTGTCCGCACTGTAAACGCCACAACGGTTCACTGAGGTCGAGTAGGTCAGCAGGAGAGGTTTATTAGCACAGGTAGAGAACTAGCTGAAGCATAAAATAAGAAATAAAACACAGTTATTAGTGTTTTTGGTGTGTCAGGTGTTGAAGGCGGGCTAGCTAGACAGAGCTAGCTGACATCATCAATTAGTCCATTAGCTAGATTAAACAGGGACGGTGGCTGTTAGTTGTACATCGAGTTAAACGGTTTTTAAAAATAATTAAAGCGTTTCATTGAATCGTTGTGAGCATCCTCAGTCGGTTATATTTAGTCCTTCAGCTCGGTGACGTTGAGGAGCTGCGATGGACTTCCTTGCTGGATGCGTAGGAGGTAAGTCGCTCCAAAGCTGCACTTGTGTTAGCCACATTATACTGTCTGTATTAAATGAGTACAGCTGGCAAAGAGACATTGTTATGAGACATTACAGCGTGACACAGCGCTGATGAATTTCTGTCTGTGTCTCTCACAGCAGCAGCAAACCACACACCGCCCTTTTAATGTGATGCAACTCCATCACAAGATTACCAGTGCATTTTCTAAATTCCACCGCAGGTCGGCACACTGAGGCAAATCCTGTAAATGCCCCTGATTGCATCTGACCTGGTGGCTCACTGTGACTGGGCTCGGCTGCAGGGTCAAGTTGAATATGATACTGTGAAACAGTTACTTCTTTCTATCTGGTGTTGTTCCCCTGCTGCAGTTTGGTGATTGCTAAAAAATCACAAGGTACAGTTAAATATGTGAACCTACAAAGACACAATCTGAATTTAATTCAATCTAACAGGTGCATGGTTAATCTATTGAGTGGCTTGTAGAGTTTGGAAACCACCAGCCACTGTGACAAATGGAAAAAACCTTAATATTCAACCCTAATATTCAACCCTGATTATATGATGATATGATTTCTTTGTTTCAGGGATGTGCTAGCTCACCAAGGGTGCTCCAACCTTCTCCCCCGTGTCACTTGTACACCCTGCTGAATTAAAAGCATGCAAACATTACACAAGTGCAACCCGAGCTTTCGAGCTTGGCAGTAGGCTTGGCAAAGTTTCCACACACACACACACACACACACACACACACACACACACACACCATAGGCAGATGACATGAATCACAGTACACACCTCTTTGCAGACCAATCCCATGCTTTCTTTTCTTAACGGCGCCTGGCATGGCAGACCATGTGGTTTCCCACCCCTCTCACAGGGTGGTATAATTCAGGGAACCATCTGCAGTTTAACAGGAAGCTGGGTGCTGCTGTTTGAGGACGGCCTAGTTTGGCTCAAACTCATAACGAAGTGACATGTCCTGTGAATATTATTTACAAAGCCAAACATGCCTCAGGTGGCTTTACAATATTTACAGTGTACAACACCCTCTGTCTTTGCAGTTTTCAAACCTGCATGTTTAGATATTTAACGATGGGTGGAAACACAGTGAGGAGAACTGTCATAACAATGAAGCCACATCCTCGTGTGCTTGTTTTTCCTGTACTTGGATCATACCAGCGAGCTGAGGTCAATGACCGCTTGTCATTGTATCAGACACACACGCCTGCTTGTGTTCTTTTCCTGGCTTACAGCCGGGACTCAGTCCTGATTGGCTCTTTTTACAAATGGGTCAGGTGACAAAAGCAGGTGCTTATGACGGATAAGCTCGCTGCGCGTGTTTGTTTACTGTTGTGAAACAGGTGGGCAGACAGTTACTGCAGGCCTATTATTTCTTTATTAATATTCTAAGGATTATAATATAATAATTATAATAATCATTGTTTTTAACCCTTAAAACACTGTAATAATATGGATTTTACGCTGCTTAAATCAGAAAAAATGCTTGAGATGAGATTAAAATTCTCTTTTCCAGAGTGTCCTGGACGAGACAGGCAGCAACATAAGTTACAGACAGACAACACAGAATAAAAATTTGAAACTCTCAAACAAGCGATATAAAAAACAAAATAAGATTACTACAAAGCAAAGCCAAAAAGTATGTTAATATGTGCGAGAGGTGAAGCCTAATATAATTGCAAAAAGTGGCAGCTACGCATGATAACAAAGACTAGCTAGGACACACCTGACTTAATGATGAATGATTAATCAAATCAAATAATCCTTAATCCTTAGATCATTCAGTACTTGAAGATGTTATGGATTTCTTGGAGTAGACTTTAAGGATAGAATCCGCTGTGCCGTTTAATTTCATGCCACAATATTGATATTTTTCATGATATAGTGCGTTTTATATTTTATCCACTGGAAAAAAAAGTTAACTGACATATATACTACTCGCCTGCAATGCTTACCTGTGATGCTTTAATAAGTAAAACATGATTTGTCCAAAAATCTGTCCTAAATGTAGTTAAAAGATGTCTTGAACGTGTCCTAAAAGCATTAAATTTAACTGTCTGATACCTGAAGACACCCTGAAAATGTCTGAGAAGACGTAATTACATCGTCACATGGCCTGTAAAAACATAATGCTGTCATATCTAGGATTGTAGTATCAGTACCTTTTTTGTTTCTGGGCTCACTTATTAATATTGTTTGTGTTCTGTCCAAGAACTGTTATCTGCTTTTAACACAGACTGAGCTGAGAAGCCCAAACTGGCACCAGTGCCTAGATTATGTAACTTTCAAAGGCTCACTAAAGAAAGTTTTAGGAGGTGATGATGCTGAGTGTGCTGGCTCAGGCTTGATAAGGCTGCGTTACCCCGGAGGAGATGGCAGCGTACTCTGAAATTACACAACAGTGCCAGCAGCAGGAGCTTTGGCCTTCAAAGATGGGTCCAATAGGGAGAAAACTGGTTAAACATGCCTGATGTGTCAGTGGGTTCAGATTTCTTAAAATAATCAGATAGAAGTGGCATGAGTTCAACGGAGGTTCTCACGTTTGTTTCCTTTGTCTCCAGGTGCTGCTGGAGTCTTGGTTGGACACCCATTCGACACAGTTAAGGTGGGTAAAGGTTTTTTTTTTTAAGGCACAGTGTCATTATAACAACTTTAAAGGCCTTTTTTAAGGGAATTCTCCTTTTAAACCAACAAAGCATCAAACTTAGAACAACAATTTCCCCTCCAGACAACTTTTAAATACTCTATGATTAATCTTGTGTAAGGCTGCTTTCACACCTGCCCTGTTTGCATCGGTTCAATCGAACTCAAGTTAATTTTCTAAACATTGTTTTCTAGTTGAAGCTGCGCCTCGTTTTCAAACTGTATGGTTTGACTAAAATGAACAATGACCGCAATATAGTCCACGATGAGCAGCACTAAAATCAACCTGCGTAGTTGTCCCTCCATCCGCACTGCTCTTGTGTCTTTTCTGTGCCAGCTTTCAAGAGCGCAGTGGCAGCTTGTGTCTGAGGTTGCTAAGCAACCTTAACAAGCATCATACAGCCAATTTACCTGAAATCCTGAGTGCAGAGCTGATCTTCTTCCAGGAGCTGTTTATAAGTGTGTAGGCCTATCGTCTGTGGGACAGATGTAAGGCTCTGGGTAGCCCTGCTCTAACATGATCAACAACTTCTCCATATTTATCAGACTGTTTCGTGCTGAATGTTTTTCACCAAGTTGCCATGTCATCCCTGTACGTTGCAGACGGCTAACTAAACTGAACTTTGTTACTACCTTTCATCTGTTGTTATGGATTGTATATTAGAAGGGAAACAGATTGGTTTTCAAGGGTTTAACTGATCACTGTCTTCTGTTCCAGGTGAGACTTCAGGTCCAAAGTATTGACAAGCCTCTGTACCGCGGGACTTTCCACTGTTTCCAGTCCATCATACGTCAGGAGTCGGTACGTGGATTTATTTCCAATACAAATCTAATGTTTATATATGAATATGCAAGTGACTAAGTTTATCTTATGTACAGTTTGTTTGCTTTAATATATGTGAGGGTTTTCTGGTTTTCTGAGTTGACTGAAATATGCGTTTTATCTTTAGATGTTTTGTTGTTTGTGTCATTCACCTTCAGGATTTAAAGCCTGCCTGTCATGTTGACACCTGTGCAGAAGTAATGTTGGACAGAGCCTATCTTTAGCCAGGTCCAGCCACCGTGGCTGTTATGGTCAACAGTTAACAGTCAGTGACCTGATAGCAGAGTTACGTCACTCTTGGTCTGACTGAATTGGACACCTGAACTTGTGAGGCCAAAGTGTGAGACGGTTTGAGTGGGGATAAGTGTAGTTTTGTTGAAGGTGGTCAGACATGTTTGGGTGGGTTATTTTCAAGCTCAGTGAAGTTTTGTTTTCCTTTTTGTTGAATTAATTTCTCCATGTTCTCTTTTTACTTTTGGTGCAATCGATGGGATTTGTTTTTTCTCCCGAGTGATCAGGACAACTATTTTCAGCCTCATTTACATTACAGGACTCAATATTCAAAGTTTAATAGAATAACTAACAGTAGCAGGTCACAGCTAGGGGGAGAAAAGATATTTTTTGTGAAAAGGCAAACTGAAGCAGCACCTGTTTCCAGAATCAGTATTTAAATAGCCTCAGGGTGTTTCACTTTTTTCACTCATGCTACAGGCACCTTCATTATAGAAAGGACTGTCCTGAAAAGAAGTACATGATGTCTTTTACACTAGAACACTTTATAATATATTCTGTTTTTAGGAGGTTGCTAGATAGGATGTAGGTTCATTATCAAATTGAGACCATGATAGGAAAGATGTTGAAAGAGTTTTGCACATGCAGGAGTTGCCCCCAGTTTTATCCATTACATGAGTTATGTAACTAGAGGACAAAGTTAGATTAGACAGTTGATTTGATCTACAGTTGCTGACAGAAACAGGCTGCAATATAACCACTTGGGGCATTTGTGCACCCTCACTGTACGTCTAATAGAAGTGCTTGTTTTTGCCACTGGCAGGTTCAGATTGTTATTTTAAGTGCTGGACAACATTGTGGACACATCACTACAGAGAAACATCATTTCTGTTTAACCAGAAACAGTCCCAAAATCACTACCGCCAAACCCACCAGACTCCATTTAAAAAAACAGTATTTTTATCATTGTAAAACACACTTCATTCATAGTCGACAGAAGCAGAAATAAAACCACAAAATCCCTCTTGGTTCGTCTTTTCACTGCTCCAACGATCACCAACTCTGGTTTGGTTGAAATAAACCTTTAATTCACCCAGTTAGATGTGATAATATGTTGACTCTATACATGTTAAAATTACCCTTTATTTAAATGGAGTCTGGTGGGTTTGGTGAGAGCGATTTCAGGGCTATTTCTAGTTAAACAAAAAGGATCTTACTCTTTAACAAAAAGATCTATCTCTGTAGGGATCCTTTCCATAATGCTGTCAGACACTTAAATAATAATCTGATCCTGTCAGTGGCAGAAACAAACACTTTAAGTGGACGCACCTAACGATGCGAACGTGCTTTGGGTGGTAACATTGCAGCCTGTTTTGCTGCAGCACTCAACTGGACTGGACCAGTTTCGAAACTGTTGCTGCCATGAGTCACTAGACAAGAATATCTGAAGACAGGGTCAAGACTGAAACATAGTGAACTTACCCAACCCTCAGACTCTTCAGGCATTTGTAAAAATAGCAATGTGACAGCTTCAGTGACATTGTCAACCTGTTTGTTAACATTTTTTTGCTGTATAATATGTGAAAAGTACAAAAAAAAAGTTCCTCTTGATGATGCAAACATATGAAGCAATAAATAACAGAAAAGAGATTAGAGATTTGTGTCTTTTCACAGGGAGCAGCCCATGAATATCATCATTTGTTAATATGGGAATTATTGTCATAACCCACAAAAACAATAGCTGTATTTATCCATACAGGCGTAGAGAGGGTTGGATTAGGAACAAACAGCTGCTGAATCATCATTAGCTGATCTTTTTCTTCAACAAAAAGGTCAGATTATTATTCTAAGTGTCTGACAGCATTATGTAAAGGATCCCTGCAGAGATAGACCTCTTTATTAAAGAGTAAGATCCTTTTTGTTTAACCAGAAACAGTCCTGAAATCACCATCTCCAAACCCACCAGACCCCCGTCTGCAGGTCATTGCTGTTCCCTTTAGTGATTTAGCCACACAAACATGGGAGAATAAGTGCCAGGTTGAAAATCACTATATTTACCCTTTAAAGTAAGAACCTGAATGTTTTTATTTAAAAGAAAAATCAGCCCCATCTGTGATTTTATTCTGATGTTTTCACACATTCTGTGTAACGTGACGTCTCTGACCCTCTCCACAGGTGTTTGGTTTGTACAAAGGCATTGGCTCCCCCATGATGGGCCTTACGTTCATCAATGCCATAGTGTTTGGTGTTCAGGGAAACACCATGCGGCTGCTGGGACAGGACACCCCAATGAACCAGTTCCTTGCTGGTGCCGCAGCAGGTGCGATCCAGTGTGTCATCTGCTGCCCCATGGAGCTGGCGAAAACCCGCATGCAAATGCAGGGCACTGGAGAGAAGAAGTCCACAAGGAAGCTGTACAAGAATTCCCTGGACTGCTTGGCACGCATCTACAATCGGGAGGGGCTGCGGGGCGTGAACAGAGGCATGGTCACCACATTTCTCCGCGAGACACCCGGCTTCGGAGTGTATTTCCTGGCCTACGATGTGATGACGCGCAGCCTTGGTTGCGAGCCAGATGACCGCTTCATGATCCCCAAACTGCTGTTTGCCGGGGGCATGGCTGGCATCGCGTCCTGGCTCTCCACCTACCCTGTGGACGTGATCAAATCGCGGCTGCAGGCGGACGGGGTGGGCGGTGTCAACCAGTACAGTGGCATTGCTGACTGCGTGCGACAGAGTGTCAGGAGAGAGGGCTACATGGTGTTCACACGGGGCCTCACCTCCACGCTGCTACGAGCCTTCCCTGTGAATGCGGCAACCTTTGCTACTGTCACACTCTTCCTCATATACGCCCGCGGGGCGGAGGAGGGGCCTAAAGACTGTGAGATGGCTCAGCCAAGCCACCACGCACAGATGCAGCAGCAGGCCCAACCCTCCAGCCTGTGATGGCCCACAGGTCTCACCCTCACGGCAGGCACTTTACAAGAGCATGGAAAGACAAAATCAAAAACATCTTAAAACAGACTCTTTACTACTGTCTGACTCAGTCTCCCATCAGACCAGTCATTCCCACATTTGAGACAGAAATACCCGGTTTATATAAACGCTCGTTTATACTTCATGTCAAAAAGGAAAAAACTGTATTTATTTTTTAGCCGTAATTTTACGTTTCAGGTTTGCCTCTGAGGAGGCAGACTGGTAAAGGGGACGGTTTTAGCAGCAGCTTAAATCTCGTGTGTGACGCTGATCTAGACTTGTTACTGAGCCACTAAACTACTGTAAGTCCGTGGCTGGGTAGTGTGTGCACTGTAGAGCCTGACGGTTGGCATCTTGAAAAGTGCAGTGTTTAACTGCACCTGTATATATCGTTGACTTCTATCTTTTTTTAATGTATATTGGAAACCTTTTTCCTGCCTTATAATATGAATACTTTTATTTTTGTTTGAGGAAGCTGAAGCACCTGTTTGTACCTGAACTGTAGCCTCTTAAGAGCCAAGCAAGCAAGAGAGAGGGAATGTAGCGTTTGATAAGAACTCGCGTGTGCTATCAAACCAAAAAACATATTGCAGCTATAACCGAATCCTCACTGAAGCACTATTACTCCATACTGAACATATCAGTACCTACTGTAAACAGAATCCACTGGTCTGAAGGGCTCTTCAGGGACCGAATGTAAAGTCTGTTTGTGTGTAAATCTGGGTGTTAGATGGCGTTATGTTGTATGTCCTGTTTAGCATGTTGTGTCCCCCTGTTTTATTTTATTTTTGTAAAGTGCTGTTATTTTTCTAAGAATAGCTTTTAAGTCTGCGCTTGATATGGTTATAGCAGGGTCAGAAATGTGTTCTAGGGGCTCTCTTTAAAGTTTTGGAAATGGTTAAAACTGAGAGGCAGTTAAAAGGCCAAATATTTTGGATGGCCCTCGTTCATTTTACTCCGTTTGTATTTAACTTGTTGTCAAATGTTAATGTGTAATAGGGACCACTGTGGTGGTGATTTGTGGCAGACTATAGCCCCCTTTACACAGCCTGCTCAAGGCTGTCATTGCACCTGATCACTCTGTTTAAAGCGTATGAGCACTGAATGAGGGGAGGGAGTTGTAGTAGGCAGTGGAGGCAGTAACAGAGCGGAGTTGGCGTTAAGTAATGGTGTGTTCATGCATCTTGTTATTCACACATATACAGCTGCTGGGGTGTTTTGTGTAGTATTTTGCAGCTGGTGAATTTTTGCCCTGAACAGTCGTGCTAACAGCCGTGCTAACTAACTGGGGAAGGCAGCTAACGGCTAACTTGGTTTGCAGTAAAGTAAAACCGATAGCTAGAATGAAGTGATGTGAAAATGGAGGCTCCGTGCTTCTAACCAGCATGAACTAAGACAGCGACACGCACAAATTTTAATTACTTAGAGCACTTTGCTAAGAAGCAACTAAATGAAATGGCCCACACACGTCACAAATACATAGCTTAAGAAGTTTGCATGTAGTCCTGTGGCTTTGCTCACTTTTCTCCAAGTCCTTTCTTTTTTGTGTTCTGTCTCTACAGTACTGACGTTCAGTGGCAGAGCTCCGGGTGGCCTCAGGTGGCCACATTGTTTGTTCTGATTCTCGGTGACGTCAGAGGAATCTCAACCAGATCTTAACGCTGATATTCTTTCGCGACACAGCATCATGCAAATGAAAAATTTCAACTCAAGTGAAGATGCACTAGCCACATTGCCCTGTTTGAATTGACAGTTATGAATTAAAGGGGGCAAAAACATTTAATGTGAACAGCCCCTAAAAGGGACAGCCGGCACACGGGACTGCCTGCACACACACACACACACACACACACACACACACACACACTAGATGTGGTTATGTTAAGCAGGATTTATACTTGTGTGCCAGCTCTCTGCAGAACCTACGCCTTTGTGAGCATTTATAGTTGTGCAGTGGTGTGTCTGTGTCACTCTGCAGTTACACCTCCAAAACACTAGTTGGTGGTGGAGTTTCTGTGAAGTGCTGTAAAGTTTAGTTGATTCAAAACATTAAACACACATTAAACACACATTAATCACACATTAAACACACATTAAACATGGCTTAATAGAGACAATATCACACAACTCGGCTTCACTCTAACTCGCAGCATTGACTGTTCCAAACAAATACAACATGCTAATGTTTTTAGCACAAGCCTATGGCATTTTACATTGTATAAATTAGCCTAGCAGCTAGCAGACTTTTCCTCTTCTCATATGAAGCCAGGGACAACAGCAACATTTAACAAAGGTAACGTTACAAAATTCAGCTCCATTACAACTCACAAGGTTCACTGACAAAACAACTGTCTTATACTAAACATGTTTTCCAAACAAATACAACATGCTAAAGTTATTAGCACAAGCCTATGGCATTTTACATTGTATAAATTAGCCTAGCGACTAGCAAAGATTCCCTCTGATCATATGAAGCTAGAATAAAAAACCTACCACACTTAAAATGCTATTTTGTGAAGGGAATGGTTTCAGCTTACAAAGACATAGACAGGAAATCTGCATCACCAAGAGCTTGAGTTACATGGGGGGAGGTGCACGTCAGGCTGCAGAGTAGGGTACATTGCAGGCTCTACATTGATGCGAGCCTACGACGTAGGTACGGCATTGATTTGACGCATAAGTATAAATCCCCCCCTTGCACATCACTCCTCTTTTACTTCCGAAACAGCAGCATGCTATCCACAATCATAAATCATGGCAGCATTATGCCGGCGGTTTTTCAATATAAACAATCTAAAGCCAGTGTGACGATGGATCTTCTTAATGGCAGTGTTGCTGAATCTCTGTGTAAAAGGGGCTTTACTCTGAGATTGTTTCACGTGCGTGCCGGTTGGGGGAAATCAGAATTAAAAGTGACTGAAGAACAATTAAATTTGTACCCAGAAGCACTCGAAACCAACTGTTGCTTCAACAAAAAACAAACATTGTTAAAGGTTAAACAACGTAAAATAACCCAAGGTTGAATGATTAGTGGAGGACAGAGCCTTTTAATGAGCCTCTAAAGTGCAGAAAGTTAATTTATAACTTAAGTTAGTGTTTAATGGGCAGAACAACCTGCAAGTGTCCCTGTGGAAAGTTTTGTCACCTTAACTTGGCAAATGTGTGTCTCCCCATATTAATATACTGTATTGGATTGGGGCTTTAACTTGACATATTTATTTTCTAATTAACTTAATGATGTACAGGTATTGTTAGTGAGTGGGAGTTGTCTGCTTTCTGCATGTGTGTGCTCAGTAACCAGTTATATTTTTGTAATGTATGCCTGAATGTCGAACATCTTGCTCTAAAGCAATCAGAGTTTGTCCCCTCTAAAACGCTAACGTGTCAGTTCCTGTTAAAGCAGTAAGTCGTCAGTGCTGCTGAAAACCCGTTCCCCTGAATGCTTCTCTGAGCTGACGTCTGACCCAGCGTTACTGCTGTCATTCAATTCAATTCAATTTTATTTATAAAGCCCAATATCACAAATCACAATTTGTCATGTGTGCATTAAGACTGCTATGAAAGGCACCTTTAGTATGCTGAATGTAACACACCTGTATTGACCCGCAGGTGTTTCAGCTGAAGAGTTGAAGGCATAGGAATACATATATTTTTATTGTACTGCTATGGTTGAAGGACAGAATGATAATTGTCATTCAATGCTGCTGAGAAACTTGAAACTCTCCGAGGCTTTGTACTCTGGTTTGATGGTGTGTGCTGATGAGAAATGAAAGTGTGTTAAGTGCAAAGGGATTTTTGGTATGTGTGTAGAAGTTGCTCAATAATTCCACCTCTTTAAACAGTGACTGTTATCTCTGTACGGTAGATTACATCTGAAACTTTGCCGTGTGAGCGCTTACATGTAGTCCTGCTGATGTGAAACTGCAATATGTACAGGATGTTATTAATGTGAGATATATATAAACACATACATACAGTGTGTAACATATTTTTCAGTCTAAAGTAGTCGTGTGGTTCCCTGAATGTCTGCCGTTTTTAAAGTCTCTGTTTAATCAGTTTGATTCAGCTGAAGAGATTTTACCTGAAAAACTGAGACGTGATATTTTTGTAACATAGTCCTGCAGAACCTATTTGTCTAGATTTGTCACTCTGTACGAATGGGTGAATAAAAATGATTCAGCAGCTGTTTGTTTGTTTCTGACCCAACCCTCTCTACGTCTCTACGGATAAATACAGCTATTGTTCTTGTGGGTTATGACAATAATTCCCATAATTAACAAATGATGATATTTATGGACCGCTCCCTGTGACTAAGATACAAGTCTCTAATCTCTTTTCTATGATGAACAGCATTAACTGATGAGACCTAATATGGGTGCGTCACTAAGGCTGCTTTCACACCTGTGTGGTTCAGTTCAGTTGAACTCAAGTTCGTTTGCCCCCTCAGTGCGGTGTGTTGGTGCAGGTGTGAACACAGCAATCACACTCAGGTGTGAACACAGCAAAACAACCAGACTGAGACCTTCTTGAAGAGGTGGTCTCAGTCCAGTTCCAAAGGAACTCTGGTGCGGTTGGTTTGTGGTGAGAAGGTGTTGCGACCTGGATGTGAAGCAACTGCAGTCACATGACACATTGTTTGGGTTAAACATGAGCATGTTACAGTCCTGGAGGATTATTAATGTGCACCTCCTCCTGTACTGCCTTAATATGCACATTCAGCACATCCAATGCATCAAAACATTGTTTTCTAGTTGGAGCCGCGCCTCGTTTTCAAACTGTATGATTTGACTAAAATGAACAATGACAGCAATATAGTCCACGATGAGCAGCGCTAAAATCAACCTGCGTAGTTGTCCCTCCATTGTGACATTAGAAAGTGTCACATTTATCTTGCAAGTGTACTCTTCTTCAACGTTTGCTTTACTTCCTGGATTTTTCCCACATGGAAATTCTGACCAGAATGTACTTGTAATTCTTTATATATATTCTTTATAAAATATTGGAGCTGATGGTACTTATAGGTTATTCAGTAAATCAATCAATCAATTTTATTTATAAAGCCCAATATCACAAATCACAATTGGCCTCACAGGGCTTTACAGCATACGACATCCCTCTGTCCTTAGGACCCTCACAGCTGATCAGGAAAAACTCCCCAAAAAACCCTTTAACGGGGAAAAAAAAAAAACGGTAGAAAGCTCAGGAAGAGCAACTGAGGAGGGATCCCTCTTCCAGGACGGACAGACGTGGGGTGGTTTTACTGGTGCAGCCCATCTGAGATATAATTGGTGGATGTGGTCCATGAACTACAATGAGTTTGACACCCATGCCCTAATGTCCTCTAGCCTATACACTGTGCGATTTTAGCAATCTTATAAGACCATTGCATGACACACTGTGAGACTTGGATCTAATAAACTTTGGTACGACATCAAGTTTGATGTGTGCAGATTGTACGATGGCCGTTTACTACTGAATCGCAGGTTACCACGTACGTCAATATGCAACGTCATCAGCGTACGTCATCCATCTGCGCCACCATAGGTAGCTTGCTCACCTGGAAGTTGCAGTTGCAGTTTCCTTCCATGCAGCGTCTTTTTTCTGGCGGTCATGACAGCAGCTGGAGGAAACATCAAATCAACAAGGCTTCTGCTGCCACAGCTCCACCAAACTTTCCTCTTTCTGGGAGTTCCACACACTTCTTTTTGTTTGTTTTACCTCCATGGCAAGCGATCATTTGTTTGGGTTTAGCGCTGGTGTCGCGGTGGCCATTGCGTCATTTCGTGCTGCATTTCTATTGGTTGATTAGTAGACGTAGGTCGTAACAGCTGTCACAATGTGAGATAGTCATCCTAAATTTCTGACATGTCAGAATTTTATCTCAGGTTATCTTTGGTCGCAAGACGTTGACAACGGCCGTCCTTGAACCTGTCTCACAGTGCGACGTAAGACCACCGTTTTAGAGCCATGACCAAAGATGTCGCCACGTTTCTCCCATGATGGTCATCTGTTCGTCTGGGACAGCCCAAAATCGCACAGTGTGTACCGGCCATAAGAGGAAAAAGTTGCTGTCACTAAACCTTTCAAATGCCTGAAGAGTCTGAGGGTTGGGTAAGATCAGTATGTTTGTCTTGACTTTATCCTCCCATATTTATGTGTAGTGACTCATGGCAGCAACAATTTTAAACCTGGTCCAGTCGAGTCAGGTGCTGCAGCCGGCAGCAGCAAAACAGGCTGCAATGTTACCACCCAAAGCATGTTCGTATCGTTATGTACGTCTACTAAAAGTGTTTGTTTTTGCCACTGACAGGATCAGATTATTATTCTAAGTGTCTGACAACATTATGGAAAGGATCCCTACTTTTGTCAAAGAGTAAGATCCTTTTGTTTTACCAGAAACAGCCCTGAAATTGGTCTCGCCAAACCCACCAGACTCCATTTAAATAAATGTTTTAACATGTATAGAGTCAACATATTATCACATCTAACTGGGTGAATTAAGGGTTAATTTCAATGAAACTTGAACTGGTGAGTGTTGGAACAGTGGAAAGACAAATCAAGACAGCATTTCTGGTTTTATTTTGTTTTGGTCAGCTATGAATGAAGTGTGTTTTACAAAGATAAAAATGCTGTTTTTTTAAATGGAGTCTGGTGGGTTTGGTTATAGCCATTTTGGGGCTGTTTCTGGTTAAACAAAACGATCTTACTCTTAACAAAAAGGTCAGTCTCTGTAGTGATGCGTCCACAATGTTGTCCATAACCTTAAAATAACAATCTGAGCCTGTCAGTGGCAAAAACAAACACTTTTAATAGACATTGACAGTGTACAAATGCCCCAATTGGTAACATTGCAGCTTGTATCGCTGCTTCCTGATGCAACGCTCTCCCTCAATACTGGACCAGTTTCAAAAGTTGCTGCTCCCATTAGTCTCTCAGACACAGAAACATGAGAACACAGTTCAGGTTGAAAAATCCCACAGCTGCCCTTTAAGTTCCTGTCCTTGCTATCGTCACAGTCAGGGATGACACAGCATCTTGCTCAGTGTTCTCTGGATGTGTTAGGCTTTACTTTACTTTTGCATTTCCTCCAACACAGATTTGTTAATACATCAGATTTTTTTTAGCGCTCAGCACAAGTATGTGTATTGCTTCCTGTTGTCTGTTAATATCCGACGTACGGCTCATAAAGCATTCGTCGATGCTGCAGAAGAGACCAGCCAGCACTGCCCTCGCTGCTCATCTGTTGAGTGAACCACAGGCAGATTAAATCACTGTATTGTAAAATATATAAATGCTGATCTTCATTTCTGAGTGGTTCAGAGACACCAAATAGGCCTTTTGAAAACTGTGATATGGAGACGAGGGACCTTCAGGCAGTCTTTATGGGGTGGATCTGTGAATCACTGATCACAGTGAAACAGTAACACAGGACAAACAAACTCGCAGTGAATCATCTGGAATCTGTGGGACGCATTAGTGAGAGGCCAGTCCTCATATATTACACATGGGATTTATTTATGAGCGCAGGAGCAAGGGCACTCTGGGGTTTAACATTATGAGGGGAAGCTGGGTGCAGTTTAGTTTGTCAGCACAAAACAGAATCCAACACCAACACTGAGGGGCCACTCGGCACTGTGAAATGAAGACTGCGGTTTCAGACGCGTTGCCTGATGAAGGCGTTTGGATGTCTCTGAACAGCTTTTCATTATAGCTGAAAATCAACTTCCTGTGTAGCTTCTAGTTGAAGTGAGAATCACAAAGAGCTGCAAAAGGATGCACCACTTGTCCACAGAATATCTGGTCACTGTAGTCTCAACCTGAGCGCCATCTGCTGGTGAATAGTGGTAACTGCAACAAAACCTTAAAGGGTCAGTTCACACAAATTAATAGAAAGAAAATTTGTTATCACTGAGGTCTGCCATCTGGTTTGGTCCGTTTCTCCTTCTTCTTATGTGGAAGTACACTCTAGTATAGTTTCTGACAATGTCAAGCAGAAAAAAGAAAGCATTTCCTATTCTTTACAGTTGACTTATTTTCACGAGTGACCAGCAGAGGTGGGCCCAAGTCACTGTTTTGCAAGTCACCAAAAGGCACCAAAGCCCCAGGTCAAGTCTCAAGTCCAAAACATTGAGTTTTGAGTCCAAACAAAGTCACAATGCACTCTTCCTCTGATCTAACAGCATTTCAACAATTTGTTGAAAAAGTTTGTGGAAACTGTTGCACCTCTGTCTGTAATGTTTGATTCAATGTTTTGCATAATGCAATTCAATTTTTTTGTTGTCCACCAAACAGGTTGTGTACACTAACAACATTATCTTTGCCAAATTTTTTACAACTGGCATTTAGTAATGTAACATTAGTTCTTTATGATTCTCTCCTGCAACTTGTTTTCATTCACTTATTTTTACTATTATTTTTGTAATTATATTTCTATTCTTATTATTATTTTATTCATATTTTTATTTTTGTTTTATTATTGTCTTGTATATTTATTGTGTTTTTTTACCAACAGGAGCAAGAGGTAAATACAAATAAATAATTTAGCTAAAAAATAATTATTAATTTATACATATTTGTTTTTGTTTTTTTTGTTTGTTTGTTTGATTATGTACAATGCCCTAGATGGCTTTTGCCTTTTCATTTCTCTTACTCTGATGCCCTCCACATACACTGTGTGTTTGTGTGTGTGTGTGTGTGTGTGTGTGTGTGTGTGTGTGTGTGGTAATCTCAAAACGAAAAGAAAAAAATAAAAGAAAATGAAAGAAAAGAAAAAAGAAAAAAATAGAATTAAAGAAAAAAGAAAATGAAAGAAAAGAAAATATGAAATGGAAGAAAAAAAATAAATAAAAGAAAAGAAAAAATAAAAGAAAATTAAAGAAAAGAAAAAAATATAAAATAAAATGAAAGAAAAGAAAAAATAAAATGAAAGAACAAAGAAAATGAAAGAAAAGAAAAAATGAAAAAGAAAAATAAAATGAAAGAAAAGAAAAAGAAAAAATAGAATTAAAGAAAAAATTAAATAAAAGAAAAGAAAAAACAAAATAAAATGAAAGAAAAGAAAAAATAAAAGAAAAAATAAAATGAAAGAAAAAAATAAAATAAAATGAAAGAAAAGAAAAAAAAATGAAAAAGAAAAAATAAAATGAAAGAAAAGAAAAAATAAATATAAAAAGGAAAGAAAAATAAAGAAAATAAAGAAATGAAAAGAACAGAAAAAGAAAAGTCAAGAAAAAACCAAACCCCCCTCTAGGTGGCGCCCTATGCATCCACCTGTGTCACCTGTAGGAAGATCCACCTCTTCCCAGTGACAAATCTTCACACTGCCTTAAAACAGCTCTAATGTTGTTAGAAACATTAAATCATGTTCTCAGAACAGTCTGACCAATAGCTGCCAGGTTTTAACATCCGCAGGTCGAGGATGTTGGCAAACACAGGAAGTCTGTTGACTAATGTTCAGGGCAACAACAGTGAACCTCAAGTGTACCTCTTCACACTGAACAGATTTGCACACAGGATGGCTGGATGTGCTGCGAGGCTGCTGCTGCTGTTATCTTTGATCACAACAGGTGAGTGAGACATAAACACAGTCTCATCTCATGACAGTTTCATAATCTTATCTTGAAAGTTCTTGTGGAAAATCTGACCCGTGTTATCTTCTATCACCAGGTGTAATTGGAGATGATGGTCTGATATGTGCTGAACGAGTTTATGATATTACATTCCCATGTGAGGACAATTTAGTCTGCTTTTATATATGGCAGCTCAGCACAAGCCAGAGCAGTGATCACATTGCTATAGTCAGTAATGGAGAGATCCAGACTGCTGCATCAGAGGACCAGGGCTCTAAATGCACTCTGCAAATCACAGATCTAACAGCGGAGGATGTCGGACATTATCGCTGCCAACAAAGGCCAGACGTCTTCTCTTCTGACATCAGTGAGTACCGAGACTGTCAAGATTAAAATGTGGGTTGATACAGAATTTAATTCACCTGATGACAAAGCTGTGCCACGGACAAATAAATAAATACAACGTTTTCTTTCTTCCTTTCAGCCCCCACAGCCATGCCAGAGTTAAACCTCATGCCTGGTAAAACAGTGTCCCTGCAGTGTATTCTCCTCTCCTACGTAGAGGACGGACAGTGCCAAACACCGCTACACCAGGTCAGCCTGACGTGGGTGGATGAAGCTGGCACTGAAATACAAGAGAACTCACAACATCAGATAAGAAAGGATTCTTCTTGTGCTGTCACTCTGACTGTCACCCTTAAAAGTCCCAAAAACAAGAAGTTTAGGTGCCAGGCGACTGTGGACGACGAAGTCCAGACTTCAGTGGAGTTGCGGGTCCGAGTCCCAGGTCTGTATGACTGATCCTAACAAGAAGACTCCACCAGGGTGTTTAAGGCAAAGAATTAATTACAACAAATGCTTTTTATTTGTAGCTCTCAAAGGGAGGGGAAGAGGACTCTTCATAGAGCTGGAACCAGAAGATCAAGGTACAGTTTTATCCTCAGAGACCGGCTCTGTCGCTCATACAGCCTATACATTGACTTCTTTTGTGAAGATGTGCTTAATAACTTAAAAACAAAATCCATGAATATATGAATAACTCTACCAAGACAGCAAAAAGTCAGATTTTTTGATAATATTTCAGCTAATTATTTTTTAAATCTGCATTACATACACACAACACACAGTTTGCCTATGAAGTGGCCTAATGTCGACAGAGGCACTAAATAGTTTCCAGTTCATTTCAATTCAAATATTAAAAGAAGAGTCAGACATTTTGTCTTGCTAAGACTTCAATGTAAAGATAGCTGCTACTCTCATATTGGTCTGTTAAATATGAAGCTGGAGGTCAGAAATGGTTAGCGAAGCTTAGTATAAACTAAACTTAGGACGATCACAAGACTCCAGGAAGTCACTCCATTGGGCCAAGAAATATTACTGCAAATAACCCGCCATTAAAACCCCACCCTGCTGTTTTTAGATGTCATTTTTAGTAGCCTACATATTAAACAAATACATGTTGATTCCTGAAAAGGCCCCCAGGAAGTGCGCCAGGCTTCAAGGCCATTTTCATAGTGGTAAATTACACTGTCACATAAACCCGTTAAGCCAAAAAAGACCTTTTCCCATAGACTTACAAGGTGAAAGAAGTAAATCAGTGGACACACTTTTTTGGGTGTTACAACCCCTGTGAAATGACATGTTTCACTGTCACGATTTGATCCATTCGGTCCAACTATATTTCTAGAAAAGCCAGAAGATTAAATCTTTTTATCCCCATTCAAGTAAGCTGAGTATGGAAGATGAGAATGGCCATGTATTTTTTTTTTTTTTTTTGCGCACTGTTACCTTGTGATAACGAATTAGATGTATATTTCCAAATAGCAGGCAGGGCTGTCCCTCCTTGAGGCAATGAATGAGGAAATAATTGCCCCGGCCTTTAATACGCAAAATGGGGTCAAACCCCCGGCGGCTATTTGCCACTGGGAGACTATTTGGAAATATACGGTATGTGACAATAATCATATGTGTATAATAACAGTAGAAGTGTGACTAATGATAACAGCAGCAGCAGGAGGCATCTGGCAGGACCAGCGCAGCTCTTGTAGGCTGAAATCAAGACGATCACATTAACCAGTGCGCAATCATCAGACTTGACAATTATCACGGGAAAACAATCTTTGTTATATCGAGATAACGAGATAATAAGTCATTATCACGAGATAAGAGTGCACAAAAAAAAAAGGCCATTCTCATCTTATGTAGCTGAGCACTAATGAGGAGGTTAGCCAATCGGCTGGTGGAAGTTAGCCAGGGTCAGCCACTGTAAGTGTGCTTGCTCTATGGGCCGCACTCTGCGTAAGTAGTGCCGATCATCCCTGGATCATCTGGATAATTTCATACTTTGGCTTCATGCCCCACTGAGCAACTTTCTTGAACGGGGTCCTGCGTTCAAAGCTGTATCCAGTTTTATTAATTCGTCATGTTCCTGAACCAAGCTAGTTCCCCTTGTTTGCAGGGTGGCGGAGTTAAACTAGCTTAGCTTAGCTAAGCCTGTATACAAGGGAAAACAAACAAGTATAACAAATAGCTATAACTCTCAAATATGACAGTGGTAGCAATATTCTCACTGAACACCAAAGAAGTATATTTCCCAGAGGATGGTTAGCATAGCTTAGAACAAGTTAGCCTAACCGCAGGATAATTAGGCTACATGACTTCTTATTGAGCCCACCTAGATACTGCAATACTCCTGCACATAACCCCCGTCATTTTTACATGCAGTTTTTAGTAGCCGACCTATTAAACGAATGAAATAGGTCTAATGTCAATTCCTGAAGCAAGTTGGCTGCTGTCCCCTTTTTTACAGGGTTAGCTAAGCTAAGCTAACTGGCTGTAACTTCATATTTAGCATACAGACATGAGTGTGAACACTCTCTTAAACTATTCCTTTGTTAAAATAGGGTTTAGAGGACTTGTTTTATCCGTACAAAATTTTCTGCGAGACACTTATTTCACTGTCTTTCCAAGAATTCAATAAGAGGGTTGCTTCTACTCTCATATTTGTCCATAAAACATGAAGCTGGAGCCAGGAGACAGTTAGCTTAGCTTAGCTTAGCATAAGCTAGCCTAACCTCAGGATGAGTGTAACTTAATGTGTAACTATTCCTTTATGTTTAGATATTAATTTGGAGGACTTGTTTCAGCTATACAAAGCATTACTTGACAAATTAAATGACTGTAATTTGCATTATCAGGTGGCAACCAGGACACGATCGGCGTGGCTGTGGGGGTGGTGGGATGTCTGGTTTTGACAGTGCTGGTTGCATTGTTTGCTGTGAACAGAAGAAGAACAAGTAAGTTCTCCTAAACTTCCTGAACCTATAGAAAAGGTCTGTTGAAATCCAAACCATGGAATATTGTCTCATACCTGTGCACAGACTGGCACACACACACAGTCACCTCCAAACATGGGTCTCCTTGCACAAGTGTACTCTGTGGTCTTTGACACAATCTCTTACGTGGCATGTGCTACAACACCTTACAAGTTCCGTTTTCACTGTTCGTAACATGATGGCAATTGTTTTGCAATTGTAGAGTCACATAACTGAGCTTGAGAAATCTGCACCAACATGCCATTATATTTGTGGTTATGTGAACACAGTCGTAGTAAATCTTGAATTTGTGCTTTCCTATCCAGGCAGCCAGCTGCCGGATGAGTCTTGTTACACCATCAGTACCAACAATGTGAGTCAACTATCTTTCAAGAACATATAGAGCAAAATATTTTGTGCTTTTGGTCATTTTTCTAAGTTAATGTTTGTTTTCAGATTATGAGCGAAGAGGACGTGATCTACGCTGACATTATTCTACCCGTGGCTCCTGACAGAGTGTGGGTCCATGAGTCCACTGAATACGCCTGTGTCCTATACAAATAGACTGCTATCCAAAATATAACCTGCAGCTTATGCTTTCTTTATCTGTGAGCTCCAACTGTGTGTTTTAATACTGTGATTTGCTCCACACCATCCCTGCACTGTAACTATAGTTTGTAGGCTGCTTAAATCAAGAACCTAACAGACATTTTGCCCTTTGACTCGCCATTTTGTATTTTAACTGTAGAGACATGTTACATTAATTTGAATAGTCTACCTCATTATGTTTTACTTCTCCTTTATAGATATTTCAACAATGTATTTCCTCTCTACCAGAGGATGTATTCACTGAAGTTTGTGGGGTTTGTTATTTTCTTTGCAAAACTGTGTTCAGGTCTATAATAAATCAAAAGATGACAAACTTGGCTCTTATGACTGCAGTTATTTTACTAAACAAATCTCTACAGTGGTTGTAAAGAGAAATATATTACAATAAACCAACTTTGGTGTAACCTTGTGTTACATCTAAAGATGAAATGTGTTTCCTTTGGAGTCTGCAATGTTATTTTCCTGCATCATTTAACTGTACAATATCAAGGTCAAGTACATACTCAAATGACAATCTGAATATTCCCCCTTTCAGTAAATTCAGGCTGGCATTAACTGCACGAAATCCAATTTGAGATATTGGAAAAAGCTGGTTGCAGTGAAGATGAATACACCAGTGAGAGTAAATTATACTGACAGCAACTACAGGTGTGTGTATTAAATGGTGTCCAAAGCAGGTGGAGGACAACAACCCATTTGTCAGTAAAATGTTGTCATTGTGTGTTTCTACAAATCACAGATACTTTAAATTTGCACATTATTATGTAGCAGCGTTTCAACAACTGGTGTGTCTGTGTCACTCTGCAGTTACACCTCCAAAACACTAGTCGGCGTCAGAGGTTTCTGTGAAGTGCTGTAAAGTTTAGTTGATTCAAAACACACATTAAACACACATTAAACACACATTAAACATGGCTTAATAGAGACAGTTTCAAACACAAGTACACAAATCAATAACTCGCAGCATTCACAGACAAACACTTGTCTTTATCTGGACACATTTTCCCCACAAATACAACATGCTAACGTTATTAGCACAACCCTATGGCATTTTACATTGTATAAATTAGACTAGCAGCTAGCAGACTTTTCCTCTTCTCATATAAAGCCAGGGACAACAGCAACATTTAACAAAGGTAACGTTACAAAATTCAGCTCCAAAACAGCTCACAAGGTTCACTGACAAAACAACTGTCTTATACTAAACATGTTTTCCAAACAAATACAACATGATAACATTATTACCACAAGCCTATGGCATTTTACATTGTATAAATTAGCCTAGCAGCTAGCAGAGATTTCCTCTGCTCATATGAAGCCAGGATAAATCACACACGAGACTTAAAATGCTATTTTAGTGGAGGCTTTATTGTCTTCACAATTTATTGTTTCTAATCTGTGAAATTAAAGTAAATAAAAGCTTTGTTTCCACTGAGGGAAATGGTTTCAGCTTACAGAGATAGTGAAGTGAATAGTGAAGTGTAGTTACATTTCTGGGAAGATGCACATCAGGCTATAGTGTAGGTTAGGATGTGGATTCAATGTAGAAAACCACTTGGTTGTAGTAAGGAATTGCACAGCCCCAGCAGGAAAAGCAACAATGTCTAAGTAAAAAACCAGTACTTTCTGTTGCACTGGCCCTGCTGACAGGTCGCTACAAAAATCTAATGTTTGGAGCCTAAAAAGCTGGTGGAAACTGGAATGACCCGCTAAAACATAGGCAGTGTTGTTGTTTGTCTGTCTGGGTGACATGCCATCCACCATCCCCTCCAGCTTATATGTATTGCACCACTTTAGAAACACTGATATGATGTGTTTGAAATATGCAAATATAGTGTATTTGTGGTTTGAAAAAATGTACAAATCCATCATTTTCTATTGACAGCTGGGCTGTAGAGGAACTTGTGAGATGTGCTGGTAGGCAACATGACTGACAAAATGAGAAACACACAAAGAACACAGGGTTTGTTGCATAAAATCTCAACCAGCCACAGAGTATTTTTGCTCTGTGGCTGGTTGTTTAGTGACATTATGTTTTGGTGATGGTGCACTGGCATTCAGTGGCACCATTTCAGCCAAGCTGACACAGCCAAACACAGCATTTCATCCTGGACACAAACCTGCTATTCTGCCTGTGCAAACATGCTGAATTAAATCTAGTTCAGAGCTGGCTTTAGTCTTCAGCTCTTTCTTCTTCCCCCTGCCAGTGCACACACACACACACACACACACACACACACACACACACACACAATCACACCTGCACACACACACACAGCCACAGCAGGTGAGAGACTGCCGGAGCCGGTCCCAGTGTTGCCCTATTTGCATTTTAAATGCTTGCAGCCAGCCCACTACTGTGTTCACAGTGCAGTGCAGCACAGCTAATCTACACACCTAAGGTGTGTGACTGTCTTCAGCCAAGAGTCTGAGGGGGTTGACGTGATGGTGAAGACAAAAACACACTCTCATCTGATGTTTTCAGTGTTTAATTTGCTGATGATACAGTGATGGTTGGTTGGATCACTGGAGATGAGACCAAGACCTGTAGGTGTGTGGAGGAGTTTGTTGACTGGTGTTGCATCAGTTTTCTTCAGCTAAACACCAATCCTCATCTATGCTCTCGTCAAAGCCACCAGACTCCATTAACAAAAACAGTAATTTAAGCTCTCTGAATAAAGGGGCTTCTGGTTTACCACAGCCTCAATCAGTTAGTTAGTTTATGTTATTGAGTGACTTTGGTGAATTTGAACTAACCCTTTAAAACACCAAAGTCACACAATAACAGACACAAACTGACTGATGGAGGCAGCAGTAGACGAGCAGCTCCTGTGTTCAGCGACATTAAATCACTGATTTTCTCAATGGAGTCTGGCTTTGAAGAGCTTTAAAGATTTTATGTGCAAATTTACTCCGATTTACTAACATTTCATGAATGAGACACATTGCGTTTTGTCCTTTATATATTTAATATATATATATGTATAAATCTTATAGAACAATTCTTGTTTTATCTCACTGATGTTTCTGTTCTATTTATTTGGCATTGAACCCTTTTTCTTGTCACTAAATATGTTAATTATTTAAAGTGTACATTAAAGGCACTATGTGTAACAGTTTCAGTTGTTCTTTGAGACAAACAAATTTTGCAGTCAAAAGTGTGTCCTAGCACATGTGTATTTACCTCCATCAGCGTATCTAAGTATGTCCGTAAGCTCCGAAATTCTCATTTACATATACATTGCGACCGGTGTCTCATCATGTACGTGCGCCATCTTGAAAATACAGGTAGGTACAGGGACATACTTGAGAAATACGGAATCACCTTTCGCGTTTTCACTTGTCGGTTTCCGCCTGCAGGTAGAGTGACGAAAAGCAGCAGCAAGCAGGCTAGTCACAAGCGCTGGTGCATTCGAAAAAAGGCAAAAAGACAACGTGACCGGCGATTTCAAAAAACGAGGGTCAACATCGGGGTAGCCTTTCCCAGGTGGAGAGACCTGCTGAAGGAGAATCACAGCTAACAGCGCCGCTAACAGCTGTTAGCGACCAGCGCCGCTAACAGCTGTTAGCACTGTTAATGCTGTTAGCGGCACTGGTCGTTCACAGCTTTTAGCGACACAGTGTTGCGAGGAGAGGGATGAGGTGTGTGAGGTTGAGCCACTTGTCAGTTGTCAAAAGACAAGACGTGATTGGTTTGTGTCGATTTACACCCGCCCCAACAGTCCTACGTTGTAAACACAGCCAGCATGGTGAGGAGGGGGTTTGTCAACTGGCATCGCGTGTGTCTGTGTAGGAGCCTGAATGAATACTCCATGAAGTATCAGATGACATGGTTTCATCAGTGTTATCATAGCTTTTTGGTACACAGCAGCTACCGTTGTTGCAATACGCGTTTGAAACAGTGAGGCGCTGTTGAGTGCGCTATGTGTTTGAATGCAATATATGATTTCAACACTAGATGGGAGTAATTCCTACACAGTGCCCGTTTAATGTCGTTTTCATTTGCTTTTTCTGTCAATGTGTTTTTTGTCTAGTAGGGCTATACCTATATATCACGTGGTCTGTGTCACATGACCCTCACATGAGCTCTTAAATTGCACACCTGTTTCCAATGCATTTTACACCCTGATGGAGACGAAACACGCTGCTTTATCCATGTATTAATAAAGGATATTACCTACAGTCAGAGTGCCTCGGATGACTTTTACACTGAGTGAGTTTTTTCTCTTTATGTTATCTAGGAATAGTAACAGATGAAAAACTGTCATGGGACTCAACATATGTGTCATTTACAGGAGTGGATTACGACAATTATACTTCATGCAGAAGCTTCAAGCATCAGGACAGAGGCACAGGGTACCACCTGGAGCCCAGAGATCCTTCATACCTTCCAGCACAGCTCTGTGAAACACATCTGACACAGTTTTTTGTACTTCATTCTTGATTGATGGTGACGATGTTGTGGAGCACTGTGTTGTTAAATGTCTGTCTTTAATTGCAGTGGGTTTTTGCTGTAGTTGTATTTGCCTGACTGTTGCCACAGACACAAAGTTTCCAAAATGATAACTAAAGGAAGCAGAGAGGCCGTGCGAGGATATGTTAGAGGCCCTTGATACATAGCTACCACATGGCATGGATCTGCTCGAATGTGAATATGTTCATTTCCTTGATTTCATCCTTCACAAACAGGATGCAAAGGATGAAAGCTGACAGGTCGACATTTTCCTGAAATTTGTTGAAGGCATTAAAGTGAATAGAAGAAGAAGGCAGAGAGGAAGTGTAAGAGAGCAAGAGCCACTGGTGAGCTGTGAAATGCTTTAAGGTTATCAAGGTACATAAAATGTCTCTGAACTCATACTCAGAGCTGAGGATCTGTGGATAATGTATCATATTCATAATTTGTACAGCGCTGAGACTACTGTATATTTCAGCAGTGAGGCGCTGCTACAAGGTCAGAGTACTGAAGTCATATTGAATCACCTCTATTCATAAATTTTTATAACGGCTCCATACCTGGAAGTCTCTTGGGCCCTCTTACATTTAGCTACAATGAAATCACCAACTGCACCAGAAGTGTCTTTTAAAGGAGCTGTATGCAACATTCAGGGACTAATATAGCAGCAATCCACTAGTTGCTATGTAAAGACATGGTGGAGTGATGACGTCCTGAGCAGAGAGTGACATCACACTTTCTGACAGTCCTGCCATGTGTGTATGTTCTGTGTCGAAATGAAGCTTTTATTTACTTTGACTCAACAGATAAGAAACAATAAATTGTGAAGACAATAAAGCC